TGGCCTCGAACTCACAGAGATCCGCCTGCCTCTGCCTCCCGAGTGCTGGGATTAAAGGCGTGCGCCACCACCGCCCGGCTGTAAATAAATCTTTTAAAAAATGTCTAAATGAGTACATAAAAAAGATTCTGTTAGTAGACTTGAGTCATCAGAAGCTTATCTTTACAACTCTACCCATTTCCACTGTCTATACTTTATTGTCCAACTACGGGATCAGAGTTCTCAGAAAATGGAGGAAGGAGCAACCAATCAGCTTCGGATCAAGGGAAAGAGAGCAGAAAACAGGCCATAGCCATAGAATGGCTTGCTGTGCAACTGGCTCCAGCATAAAAATAGATCTGGTGTCCCAGTCGCCATGCTGGAGGAAAACAAAGCACATCTTCAAGCTGCTGAGTGCATGTCCTGTGCTCAGACAAAGCTCAGCTTCAAGTACGGAAGAGACACCTGCGGCTCCACAGAGCCGTGAGACAGTCTAACACGCAGGGAAATTATTGCAATGATTTACCCCTTGATGGTAAATGGTAAGTAAAATCAATGAATGCCATATGTTCATTCCAGGAATACATGCTTAACTGTCTACTATGTGCCAGGATGAGGGCTATGCCCACACAGATACACATTTCTGTTCCCATGGAGCTTACATGCTAGAGGAGACAGACAGATGATTTTTGTTTGTTTGTTTGTTTGTTTGTTTTTCAAGACAGGGTTTCTCTGTAAGTTTGTGCCTTTCCTGGATCTCACTCTGTAGACCAGGATGGCCTCGAACTCACAAAGATCCGCCTGGCTCTGCCTCCCGAGTGCTGGGATTAAAGGTGTGCGCCACCACCGCCTGGCTCAGATAGATGATTAACAACTACCACAGGCATGCTGTGGTTTGTAAGTCTGACACTCAGGGGCTAAAGCAGGAAGACTGGAGATTGAGACAGGCTGAGCAACACAGTGAGATTCTGGAGTGGTGGTGGGTGGATTAGCACAATGGGTCACCTTCTCTGGAAGCTATCAGATGATGCAACTGACCAACATAGGGAGGGGAGGGCTGGGGAAATCATCTTAGGGCTAACCGTGTGCACACAAACATAACAGAGGGCTCAAGAATCTTTTGGACTCCTGTGGGGAGAGCTAGGCAAGAAGACAGGAGAAACTTAGGGAGAGCTCCCTTTCGGGTGAGGATTTCATAGAGAGGCGAAAGACAGCTGAGGAGTGGTGAGAACATGGAGATTAAGAGCTTGGAGCAGGGACGCCTTTAATCCTAGCACTCAGGGATGAAGCCATCTCCGTGGGACTAAACACTGTGCCTGGGGCCAACCCAGGGCCCAGCTGCCGATCCTGCGAGGCCCAACAACTTGGAGGTGCTGGTGAGACTGCCCTACTGATCAACCTGTTCTGCTGAGACCATTTGGGAGAGGTTTTAGAAGCCTGCAGCCTGCAGTCTGAGGAAACAAGATCAGCTGAGGAGTGGACGAGCGACCCGAGAACGTAAGAGAAGGAGCCGTCCAGCCACCAAACCAGAGTACCAGAATCATAAGCCCACCCTACTTACTGGGAACAGGTAAGGCCCCATCTCTGGACCGGGAGACCGGGTCTCTAGCCCCTAGGCCCCAGCCATCAGAGCCCCAGGGACCAGGCAGCTACCTTTCCTTGCTCCCTCACCAAAAAAAAGCCAGCCCCTGCGAACCCAACAACCACTGGAATCATAAGCCCACCTTGCACCAACTGGGAACAACTGCTCCCTGAGACAGAACTCACTAACACTGATTTGACTAAGCTGCTCCCGGAGAAACCGAGCCCAACAGCACTGATTCGACCAAGAACTCCTAGTGGACCAAGACTATTAGAACAAGAGAGGCACCTTCAGACACAGACACCGCCTGCACAGAGCAGAGGAAGAGATGAGTAGACGCCAGTGCAAAAATACAGGCAACAACCTAAAGACCTATATGGCAACATCAGAACCTAGTGATTCTACACCTGCAAGACCTGAACATACCAAGGCAGAAGAAGCAGAAGAAATCAATCCTAAAAATGATTTTAAGAAGACGATAGAGGCCCTTAAAGAAGAAATGAAAAACTCCCTTAAAGAGGAAATAAAAAATTCCCTTAAAGAAACAGAAGAAAAAACAAACCAAAAATTGGAAGAAATCAAAGAAAGCCAAGAAAAAGTAATTAAACAGATGAAGGAAACAGATCAAGATTTGAAAATTGAAATCGAGGCAATAAAGAAGAAACTTAAGGAAAAAGCATAAGCAGCCGAGTAATCCTAGCTGAGACAGGAGTGTGTTTGAGGCCAGCCTGGGTTGCACTGTGACTTGTAGGCAAATTTGGGCTACAGACCGAGACCTTGTCAATCATACACGAAGGCTGGAGATGTATCAGGGTTGGCAGAGTGCTTGCCGAACATGAACGAAGGCCCAGGTTCCATCCTCAGCACCACACAAACTGAATACAGGGCTCACACCTGCCATCTCAGCACTCTGGAGGTGGAAGATCAGAAGTTCAAGGTCATTGTTGACCACATATTGAGTTCCAGAATTTGAAGCTAGCCTGGGCTACATAAGACTCTGTCTCAACACACACACACACACACCACACCACCACCACCAATAATAATGACAAAAGACATGAGGCTAGCATATGCTTATGACACTTATAATATGAAATTGATATTCAGAAATTGTGCTTTTAAAAAAATAACCAGAGGAGAAATGGGGGTGAAAAAAAGATTTTGGAGACAGAGTCTCTCTATTATGTAGTTCTAGCTGTCCTAGAACTCACTCTGTAGACCATGCTGGCCTAGAACTCAAGAGATCTGCCTGCTTCTGCCTCCTGAGTTCTGGGAATAAAGGTATGTGCCACCAAAGCCAGGCTTGGTGAAATATTCCTCCTGTCCTACTCATTCTATAACCTCTACCATCAAGACATAAGAACCTATCTTGATAATGGAGTCTTCTTTTTTTGTGTGTCTTTGTCTGTGCACCATATGTGTGCTTGGTGCCCGAGGTGGTGGTGAGCCGCCATGTGAGTGCTGGGAATAGAACTGGGTGGGTCTTTTGTAAGAACAATAAGTGCTCTTACCCACTGAGCCAACTCTCCAGCCCTATAATGGAGTCTTGACAATAGATACTCGAGGCCTTTTCTGCTCCTTAGGAAGAGGGTAGATTGCGGATAAGATATAAAAGGCTGAAGTCAAGTAGTACAAGCCTCTATTGCCAACACTCAGGAGGATTGAGCTTCTGATGTCAGCCAGGGCTAAGAGGAAGCCCCAGTTCAAAAAAGAAACAAATATTCTAGTATTTGGGAGGCAAAGACAGGTAGATCTTTGCATCTGAGAGGCCAGCCTGGACAGCTTGGTGTACATACAGTTCCAGGCAAGCCAAGGGAACATATCTAGATCATCATAATCATCGTCATCAACACACACACACACACACACACACACACACACACACACACACACAGTGTGTGATCAGATGGATAATTAAAAGTGAAAGATGGGCCAGGTAGCGGTGGTGCACGCCTTCGATCCCAGCACTCGGGAGGCAGAGGCAGGGGGATCTCTGTGAGTTTGAGGCCAGCCTGGGCTACAGAGTGAGTTCCAGGATGGCCAGGGCTACACAGAGAAACCCTGTCTTGAAAAGCCGGAAAAAAAGAAAAAGCAAAGCAAAAGATGGAAATATTTAGGAACAAATAGAATACCTTTACATTAAGTATGGGCATTCAAATCTGATGTGAGGATGAAGTGAACCCGTGAAAAAGGAATTAGTTACTAGTGAGGATGAGTTTGGTCCAGATACATAGGGCTCTTGTAAGAGGGCTGTCAAAACAGATGGTAAAACTGGTTGCATGGGCTGTATAGAAATATCAACCAACCTAAACGCCGTGGCAGGAAGTGGCTTCTTGGTTCCTTCACTTTAATTTGTCACTCCTCTTCCCGTTTGTTTCACTGCAGGAGCCCCTCGGGTTCTGGTGTCTGCATCAGACACCTCACCTGTTTGCTGCTTCTCCACAGCCCTCCGTGTCCATCCTTTATCTGCTTTTTACATCCTCCTACATCCCCTATGCCTACCATGTCCATCTGCCCAGCCCAGCCCACTCTGACTCATTTCTCCAACAGTTCTTCAAGACTGAAGCAGTTTCCTTCTACTACATTCATTCCCACACTTTTTTTCTCCTTTAAAGTGTTCCCATTTTCCTCCTTCCCACTCTTCCTTCCCATTGATATCAGCTTGGCCTCCACACCTATAATTCTGCTCATCCCCATGCTCCTCTCAGGTCCAGAATCCTCCCTCATATTTACCCTGGATCCACAAAGTTTTGCTTTGTTCTAGCTTCTCTTGACTTTCAATACTTTACATTCAATTCTTCATCCACCTGACTCCCGGGAGTCCTCTCCAGCTGTGTCTTTCTCTTCCACAGGAACAGATTCATCAGCAGTGTCTTCCATTTCATCCACCACGACACTGTCAATTTCCACCCCTTTCTCTGCTCCTTCATCTCGCCCTTCTACACTTTCAGAAGGAATTTGCATTTCCTGACTCATATTTTCCATCATACTTTCATCACCAGTAACATTTATCACTCTTTCAGGAGCCTCTTCGGTTGTACTTCCGGTTAGTGAATGCTCTTCTGCACTTCCACTTCTGGTTAGTGATGGTTCTTCCAGTTTCATCTCGCTGGATTGTACTTTCTCAATATTTGACTCCACGTTATCTTCGGTGGATCTCAAATTTTTACCAGTCCTTAGCTTCTCTCCACTGGACCTTAATTTCTCTCTGCTCAGCCTCTTTTCATCACTTGACCTCACCTTCTCTCTGAGGGACCCCCGTTTCTCTCCACTGTCTGAGGCCTCTCTGAGGGACCCCCGTTTCTCTCCACTGTCGGAGGCCTTCTCTCTGAGGGACCCCCGTTTCTCTCCACTGTCTGAGGCCTTTTCTCTGAGGGACCCCCGTTTCTCTCCACTGTCTGAGACCTTCTCTCTGAGGGACCCCCGTTTCTCTCCACTGTCTGAGGCCTTCTTTCTGAGGGACCCTCGTTTCTCTCCGCTGTCCGACACCTTCTCTCTGAGGGACCCTCGTTTCTCTCCGCTGTCCGACACCTTCTCTCTGAGGGACCCCCGTTTTTCTCCACTGTCTGAGGCCTTCTTTCTGATGGACCCCCGTTTCTCTCCACTGTCGGAGGCCTTCTCTCTGATGGAACCCCGTTTCTCTCCGCTGTCCGACGCCTTCTCTCTGATGGAACCCCGTTTCTCTCCACTGTCCGATGCCTTCTCTCTGAGGGACCCCCGTTTCTCTCCACTGTCGGAGGCCTTCTCTCTGATGGATCCCCGTTTCTCTCCGCTGTCCGACGCCTTCTCTCTGATGGAACCCCGTTTCTCTCCACTGTCTGAGGCCTTCTCTCTGATGGAACCCCGTTTCTCTCCACTGTCGGAGGCCTTCTCTCTGATGGAACCCCGTTTCTCTCCACTGTCGGAGGCCTTCTTTCTGATGGACCCCCGTTTCTCTTTACTGTCTGTTTTCTCTACAACAGACCTCCGCTTCTCTCCTGAGGAAAGCCGTTTCTCTCTCTTGTGCATCAAGTTCTCTCCACTTGTCTCCAACTCCTCACTCTGCCTCAGTTGATCCCCTCTGGACCTCAAGTCCCCTCCACTGGTCCTCAACTTGTCCTTAGACTTCATCCTTTCTTCAGACTCTGTCATCTCTGCACTCTTCGATACAGATCCGGTTTTGAGTCTGTTCTCTTGCTGTCTCCAAATCTCTGAGCTGTCCTCCTCCAGACTTGCTGGAGCCTGTGATGTCCTTCCTCCATTGCTCGGGAGCTTTGTGTCCACCCTCTGTGTCGATCTCTCTTTCGAGATCTTCTTCCCCACAACTTCCAGCTTCCAGTTCTCAGATTCCAACTTGGGGTCCCACAGTTTGGACTTTTGCAGGTTTCTGTCCAAGAGTTCCACTCTCTTTCCAATCACGACGAGCCCGTTCCAGGGCGCCCACACCTTCTCCTTCTCTCGTACTGGCGCCTTCTTGCAGAGCGGCTCTGGTGGCGATCGCCTGTGGACGTGGGCCTTGGCCTTGCTCCGAGCGCCCCGTGCCCGGGCCTTACTGCGTCCCCGCGGGCCCCTAAACTGCTTACTCCGCACTTTGGCGCTCGGGTGTGAAGCCTTGAACGGAACCTCTTTCTCCACAGACATTGCCGCCTGCCCTCGGCCCTAGCCCCGCTGACCCACTCGGGAGCCCCATTCCCCCTTACCCAGCCCTCCCTCCCACCCTCGCCCCCTCCAGACTCCCCGCCCCGCCCACCGCCCGGTGGCGCCAAGATGGACTAGTGCGCATGCGCAGCTGCGCGCGGGGTTCAAAGGAGGCGGGGCCCGGAACGGCCGCGTCTGTAGGGTCCGCCCACGGGACCGGCACGTGACCGCTGCGACCCTAGAGCGGCTCGGGCTCTGGCCTATCCTGGACCGGCTCTCTGGCGCCGCTTAAACGCTGGCACCGGATGGACAGGCCTGACAGCCAATAGCAGCTCTCGTGGTAGACCGGTGCCAGTCTGGAGCCGCTGCAGTCTGTAGGACCCCGGCCGGGAGGTGGCCGAGAGTGTCGCTCAGCTGATGGGATCCCCACAGGGCCCCTCATCCAAGCTCTTGGAAGGCGCAGGCTGTGGCCAGCTGTCGGAGCACCTCTTGTGCGCCCCAGCTGAGGAGCACGATGGAGGAGTACCATCAGGAGGCTGGGGAAGAGCGTAAGGTAAAGGAAGGAGCACAGCCCCTTCCTGCTGCACCTCACGCCACCATCCCATACCAAGCATTGGAAGGCGGCCCTGCGGTGGCCTCCGCATAATCAGGGTTTTACCTCCGTCTGCAGAGATGGAATCGGACCCGTCATTGTTACGCCCTCCCCTCCCCAGGACCGACTCGGTACTGGCCTGATGGGGAGAACACGGCAGTCTGCAAGTGACTGAGAGAGAATCCTGTTGAGTTTACAGGCTCACCTGTGTATTTGTGTTCATATATTTATAAGACCATCCGTTCATTCTCCATTTTTTTTCCTTTCAGCCTCATTCAGTAGTTATTGAGGATTTTCATTGTTTGGGAACTTGCAGAAATAGGCCCTGGAGGTAGGGTTGAAGGCTCTGGTGAGCTGTGGCGGCACAGGTAGGGCATGGAACCGCGATGGTCCATTCTGGAAGTCACATTTCCCTGAAGCAGTCACCAAGCGAAGTAGATTTGAGTAGAGATAAACATCTAGGAGGAAGCCAGGGACTAGGGGCCTTTCTGCACCAAGAAGCTAGTGTGTCTGAAGGTGGGGAGTCGGGGAGTGAGAACAAAAAGCCTGCCTTGGGACGTCAGAGAATCCAAGAAGTTGAGAGTGGGGTTCAAGTGGAATTTGGAGGAATAAGAGGGGCTGAACCTGGCTTTCTGTTCCCATATGTTCAAATTAGAAAATATGTATAAATAGCTGGGCGTGGCAGAGGCAGGAAGATCTCTGTGAGTTCAAGGCCAGCCTGGTCTACATAGAGAGTTCTAGACCAGCCAAGGCTATGTAGTGAGACCTTGTCTCAAAAGCAGAATATATATACATATATGTTATTTGTGTGTATATATATATATATATATATATATATATATATATATATGCTTAGAATATGTTTATAAAGTGATTAGAAGCCAAGTGTAATCCCAGCACTTTTGAGGGTGAGGCAGGAGGATTACCACCAGTTTGAGGCCTGCCTAAGCTACAGTGTGAGACTGCCATAAATACATAAATGTATTTCTTTATTCGAACAATGCCAAGCATATCATAAGGCCAAATATGTGTTACTTATTGGTATTGTTGTGGTTGTTACTATTATCAAATGGTTTACTATATGTTTTGAGAGTACGTTGGACTATTAAACTAATGAGTGTACTCCAGATTTGTAGGGACCATACTTTCCAAAAATCCTTTTTAATATTCATCCTGTAGGTTCAATTATGCCTTCACAAAGTGCATCTTTCAAATGGAGAGAGAGCCAGTGGTTAAGAGTTCTTGCTGCTCTTGCAAAGGATCTGAGTTTGGTTCTCAGCACCCACATCAGGAGGTTCCCAGCTGCCTATAACTCCAGCTACGGGGGCTCTGATGCCCTCTTCTGGCCACCTTCGTTACTTGCACTCAAATGTGCATACTCATACACACACACATACATTTAATTTAAAAATTTAAATTAAATGTCGAGACATTAAAAGGAACACTAGGCCGGGCGGTGGTGGCGCACGCCTTTAATCCCAGCACTCGGGAGGCAGAGCCAGGCGGATCTCTGTGAGTTAGAGGCCAGCCTGGGCTACCAAGTGAGTTCCAGGAAAGGCGCAAAGCTACACAGAGAAACCCTGTCTCGAAAAACCAAAAAAAAAAAATAAAAAAAAAATAAAAAAATAAAAGGAACACTAAAAGACTTGGAAAGTGTGTCTTAGTGGTACATTGCTTGCCTAGCAAGGTCCCCAGTTTGAGCCTTAGCACTTCAAAAATAATCAATAATAATAAGGATGATGATGATAAATACAAGCAAAAATATAATCGAGGAGAAAGTGTAACAATATAAAATATTTGATTAATCTTATTACAGACAAGAAAAAATAAATAATAGGAAGGTAAGACACAGCCAGGCAATGGTGGTGCATGCCTCTAATCCCAGCACTTGGGAGGCAGAGGCAGGTGGATCTCTGTGAGTTCGAGGCCAGCCTGAGCTACAGAATGAGTTCCAGGACAGCCAGGGCTACACAGAGAAACCCTGTCTCAAAAAACCAAAAAAAAAAAAAAAGTGAGACAGCAGCACAAGGAAATGATGTGTATGTGTGTGTGTGTGTGTCTAAGGATGGATATGCTGTTACCCAATCCAGTCTTACACACTGTTTATGTACATGTTCAAATGTCACACTGGAGCCAGGTGTAGTGGCACAAACCTGTGATCCTAGCACTTAGGAGTTGGAGCCAAAAGGATCAGGAGTTCAAGATCATTCTCAACTACATTGTGAGGTAGAAGCCAGCCTGAGCCACAAAAGGAGACTTTGTCTCAAAATGAAACAAAGAGCGGAACAAACAACAAGGACCATTTCTTGTAAAAAGCCTATGCAAGTTTTCAGTACATAGAAATGACAAATCTTTATAAAGATATAAATTCACTGGACAGTGGTGATACAAGCCTTTAATTCCAGCACTAGGAAGGCAGAGGCAGGCAGATCTCTTGTGTGTTTGAGACCAACCTGGTCTACAGAGTGAGATCCAGGAAAGCCAGGGCGACACAAAGAAACCTTGTCTTGAAAAACCAAAATAAGAAGAAGAAGGTGAAAATGCTAATTACCCTGATTTGATCATTTCACATTATACACATATACCAAATTATCATCACTGTAACCAAAAATATGTAAAAATGTGTCAATTCAAAGAAACTTTTAGAAAAGACATTTCTGGCCAGTGAGATGGCTCCGTGGGTAAAGGCCCTTGCCACCAAGCCTAATAACCTAAGTTTGATCCCAAGCCCCACATGATAGAAAGAGAGACTCCTACAAGCTGTCCTCTGACCTATATACATGACATGACACACATGAACACACTAACAGATAAATCAAATATAATAAAAAATCAAATATAATAAAATTATTATAATAAATAATTCAATTTCCCTGAATGCCCCAAGGGATTTAGCTATGGACATATCTACACTTAGAGATAACTTTGGAGAAGTTTTAATTTTTATTTAATTTAATTAATTCATTTATGTATTTATTTATTTATTTATTTTGGTTTTTTGAGACAGAGTTTCTCTGTGTAACAGTCCTAACTGTCCTGGAACTTGATTTGTAGACCAGGCTGGCCTCGAACTCACAGAGATTGGCCTCTGCCTCCCAAGTGCTGAGATTAAAGGCATGTGCCACCACCACTCGGCTACAGAGGTTTTAAATTGCACATTTAGTTCCTATAAGCAAGTCTACAGATACTTTTTTCAGATTTGATAAGGTTGCCTTTTTTTAAGGAATTTGTCCAAACCCTGAAAAATCACCAAATCTATTTGAGGTAAACTTGTTCGTATAGATAGTATCTTCTATTTTATTTTTATTATTGTATTTATTTATTTATTTATTTGATGGGTTTTTGTTTTTGTTTTTGAGACAGGGTTTCTCTGAGTAGCCCTGCTTATCTTGGGACTTGCTCTGTAGACCAGGCTGGCCTTGAACTCAGAGATCCACCTGTCTCTGCCTCCCAAGGGCTGGGATTGAAGGCGTGTGCCATCACTGTCCCGCAACACTGTCTTTTGTATTTGTTTTGTTTTTTGTTTTGAGACAAGGTCTCACTCTGAATGAAGCATCTTAGACTGTTCAGCCATCCTGACTTGCAAGGTCTCACTCTGTAGGTTGAGAAACTCTGTCTCAAAAAACCAAAAAAAAAAAAAAAAAAAAGAAAAGAAAAGAAAAATTCGTATTAGTTTATTTTAAACTACAGAATGTCATTTTTGTGTTTTTGAGATAGGGTCTCCTTATATAATCCTGTTTCGCCTCTAACTTGGTAATCCTTCTTGCTTAGCCTCCTAAAGGTTGGAATTACATATTTGAACCACCATACCCATCTGGAATGCTTGGTTTTTGTTTTTTGTTTTTTGTGTTTCTTTTTGAGACAGGTAAATGCTTGGCTTTTAATTGAAATGTTTAGGACATTTATAATTATTGAAATTACCCATATATAGTTGACTAAAACCTTACCATCTTACTTTGCATTTTTTTCTTGATTCCATTTTTTCCCCTGCTATGTGTGTATGGTGAGTTCAGTGTTCAAGTGTGTTTTGGTTGTGCATGTGGAAGGCCTGAGGTTAATGTCTTTTTTCAAAATATTTACTTTTATTTCATGTGTATGTGTTGTAACGGCTATGGGTTCATGCACACATGTGGGTCCGAGGAAAGAAGACATAGATGCCCTCTAAGGATGAAATTTTTAGCCTTTTCAGCTGCAGGGGGATCAGCTCTGACAGATTGACTCACTGTCACTTAGCAAAGGGCTTTTATTGTTACCCAGTTCCCATCTTTAGCAAGTCAGTCTCCTCCACCCAAACCTCTTCTCTAAGTTCTCCAAAGGGACCAGGCCAATGCAGAGTCTCAGTCAGGAGACCTATTGGTTTGCCAAGTCCTCCCCAACCAAGTGCTGCACAGGCTTTGCACTCCTCGGAAACGCTAGACAAGATTGACATGTTTCAAATGGAAGGTACTGGAGACAAAAGGTAGCAGTCACAAAAG